TTTCTTCACTTTTTACAACAGGACAAATATATTCATAAATAGTCAACTACAACTTTTCTGAATTAATTAAAAAAATATAGACAAAAAGAAATGAGGAGTAAATGAGCAACTTCTAGCTACCTCCACGATATAGACAAAATATGCGTATTATAAGGCCATATTAAAAAATTTAGGAAAAAAAGTCTGAAATATATTCGAACTTTGACCGAAATTGTTGTAACGATACCAAACTTTGAAAATGACCTTTTACCCCTCCTACACTATTTAATAGTGTATTTTAAAGGTATATATGTGTCCACGTGGACATCATAAATATTGCATAATTATAAATAGTAACGTGTCCACGTGGGCATCCTTCATAAAGTTTGGTATCGTAACAACAATTTCGGCAAAAGTTAGAGTATTTTTTAGACCCTTTTCCCAAAAAGTTATAAATATTTTTCTCTTTATATTTTAGGGCTACTAATATAGTTTTCCATTTAATATGAAGTGGGATACAAAATATTTATATACTTTAGAAAATAAATATTCATGTCGTCATCTGCCTATTATAATCTCAATATGTACCAAAAAAAAGTATTTTTTTTGTTCATTACAAGTTAGTATTAGTCAAAGCTAATGCTAGTACCTATAGATAAATATTAGTTTTCACATTAACAATCTTAAGCATGCATTATTTGATTGTGTTTTTAGTGTTAAATAAAAATGTATTAGGCACAAACACTTTAGTATTTACATCAAAATTTAGGTAAAAACAAATCCAAACCATTTGAGTAATAAATGATTCAATCAAACAAGTTTTCATTTGAGTATTCCGCAAATTAAGTTTTGAGAATAATTAGGAAATGCGAATCGGAATAATTTCAGAGAGTACCTCTCAAATTTGAGTTAGTAATACCAACTTCTCTTGTGATTTAAAACATTACGATTACCTCTCTTGATTTGAATTTTTGGTAAAGAAATTTTTAATCGGTTTCTTACTATTAAAATATAAATTGTAATCTAACTAATTCACCTTGTCTAAAAAAAATTTTATTTCTAAAGTGTTACGAGGCCAAACTACAGCTTAATACTTGTATTAATTTGATTCATTACCTACCTTAAAAATTGCTCAGACAAAGACATCAATCTTTAATTTGTTGGAAGTAAGAAAATTGAGAATTAACCAAAGTCTTAATCGTATTTTTTTTCTTACTTTATTACTTCAACATTGTCTAGATTCTTTATTTTCACTGAAAAAGATCATTTATCGTAGACCGGTTGCTGGACTAGTGGAAAAAAGAATCAAATTTATCATAGTGTTTATTTATGACACTTAATAATTATATAATTTTAAAATTCTTATTTTACTCTTAATTACACGGGTGAAATTCTTAGTATAAAAAGCATATTAAAATTACATCCTAGAAGGGTTTAATATGTTCCACACAGTTAAGAGTAGAGCGAATATAAAATAGTAGGTGGAATTTTGAAAATTCAATAACGTTTGCACAAATTTCATAGAAAAAGAATATCAGAAAGCATTATGATTGAATAGTAAATACTCTTTTATTGTACATATTTGAGATTGAAAAAGGTAAATGACGACTTACATATTTTTTTTTCGAAGAATATAAATATTTTGTATACCACTTCATATTAAGTGGGAAACTATAGTAGTAGACCCAAAATATAAAGAGAAACCTTTTTTAAATTTTTTGTCTACATCGCAGAGGTAGCTAAATGTTGCTCATTGTTTAATTTTTGAATCGAATTGGTGAATTTTTCCAAAATATTAAGCATTCTTTGAATCTCATGATTCTTGAACAATTGGTTTCGTTTGAAGAATTTATCAAGCCGAATCATGACAAACCCAAGTTCTCTTTGATTTACTTCATGTGTAACGAAATCTATACCATTATCGGAAATGAAAGTGATGGGAGGCAAATCATCGGGTGCAGCATAGTCATAATTAAAGAGTTTGGGGGATTGTTCTTAATGTTCGATCACGGATAAAACTAGAGTTTTTGATAAGAGTGTACCAATTTTTATAGATGGATTTGAACCTCAACAATAACTTTACAGACGATCTGAGTAAACCTTCCCTGATTGAATCTTTGAGAAAATCGCCACCATCATTGGTGTCCATACCAATACAATCTCGATATTTCCATTCAAGAACACACAGAAAAAAATTAATAAATGAACGAAAAGTTTGCCATTTTAAATTGTAGTACTTTAACTTAATGGTAATTGCTATTTATACTAGTATAATAGATTTTGTACGACATTAGTCTTATTAATTTTATTAATACTTAGTTGTATTCTACATTTTAGTCATGTAGATCGAAAGAAAAAAGAATAGCTCTAAAGAGAAGGAAATATATAAGTAGAAATATGAGCAATTTGCCAAAAGAATAATATTTGAATAAAGTCATGTTAGTACTATACTAGTTAATTGATCTGTATTCTACTCATGTTCTAGGGATTCATGGAAAATATTCAAACATAACCTAGACGAAACTGATTATCAAGAAAGCTTATTTATCACTACTAATTATTTTAATGGATCTTATTATTGGTTGTTAACGGAGACTCCTAAATTTAGAATTCTTTCATATGACTTTAGGAATGAGGTGTTTGTAAAGATGGAATGATCACTAGATGGTTAGGACGTCTATAGTTGGAGTGTGAATCTGACCTCACTTGGTGACTCCATTGCCATCTTGAACTCAGTCGACAAGTTTGTTTTTGATGTATGGGTAATGATACAACCCGACCTTTGGAACAAACTTGTGACCTTTCATTGCACTACACCTATTAAGTCATGTAGATATGACATCTCTGTGATTTTGGTAACTAAAAGTTTTCGGCTGGTCACGTATAATGTTAGAACAAACAAGACAATGCTTCTTGAATTTCGTCATCCGAGCCTGAAGTCACATCCAAAGGGTGGTGGTTGTGGGGTTTACTATTATAAAGAGAGTTTACTAACAATTAAACGATAAGGGAATAGTGAGCTCCATCTCAATCGTTGTATGACAAAAGTGTCGGCCAGATATTAAATTTTAATAAGAGCTTAAAGCATATTGGATAATGTTTACATGTTATTTATTATGGTTCATTCTAGCTTGTAACCTATTTAATTAGGAACAATATGAGATTGTCGATCATATGTAATTTTGTTTGTATACTCTAAGTTGTTGATGATTGTGAGCATGGAAAATGGACGTGATGACACTCGTCTTATTCCACCAAGATAAGTCAGTCTAAAAATAACTAATACGGTGGATGCAGAAGTAAAACGAGAATAAAAGTTTAATACTATAAAATAATGCAGAAATTTATAATTATATACCCCAAAACTTGGTTGTCGTCACGCCCGAGCCTACACCCTGGACGTGCCGGCACTCGAGAACCATTGCTGGCCCCAAGCGAACCCTTGGCCTGGCTTACTTATTCAGCGGAAGACTATATGCAATAAGAAAGGAATCCAAATGCTAAACAACTTAATTGTCTCAAATTGAACTCATAATATTTTGAAAATAACATTTAACTTAGCCAAAATGGCAACTCAAATCTGAACATAAGTCAATAACAAAATGATGACGAATGAACTAACATCTGACTGACTATCTATGAAGCATCTAAAACAACTGTCCCAACATCCTAATGAACTAACTAGAAAGTAATGAAAAATAGATCATCCGAAATGCAAGGAGGCTCACCAACAGACTCTGAACTGCTCACAGGATCAGCGATGTGCCGAAATACAATCCTAGTTACCTGTGTCTGCATCATAATACGATGCAAGCCAACTGGCATCATTACATTGAATGGACGAGTATGCGCATCATAAGACGATGCAGGTCAACTGGCATCAGTACATCGAATGTATGAGTATATGAGTTGAAATGCTAAACATAACATAGGTTTGAAAAGGATCTAAAAGAAACATTTACCTTGGCTTTACTCAACTCATGAATACTTAACTGAACTCATTTAATTATAAAACAGTTTAAAACAAATGCAATATAAAGGAAAAAGAAAATTGTTTAAAGCATGTTGTCAACTCATAATCATAAAAGACATATCATGATCCCTCTCAAAGTCTACTTGTGCAGTGCATGAATGAAGTCCCATACCCCCCATCCATACTAAGCAGAACCCCTTGAGGAACCATGCAATTACTGTTGTAGGAGTTTCTCTAACCGACAACCATCAGTTAACAGTTAGCCAAACAATAAAATATTTTTGGTTAGAACCTATCTGAATTCTCTAGCAGAGTCGTCATTCTGTTACAATCCGATCTTGAAAACTAAGATTTCGAAACCAATTTCGCAACTTTTGCAATTTTGGATAAGTTTTGGAAAAAATTATAATTTGGAAGTCGCCACTTAATTTTTAGGAAAAATTAAAAAAAACATTTTAAAAGGAATTTTTGAAAGGAAATATTTTAAATAAAACCAGAATCAGGTAAGGGTTCAAATAATTCTCTAAGGAAGGGTTTAGGCATCTTAGAGAATCCGCTACCACGCGGACGGATTTAAAAATTTGGCTAATTTTTATAAAATAAATGAATTACTTATAAAAAATCTTGTTTGAAACTTAAATAAAAAAAATCTTTTGATGCTCATGGAAATCTGAAATATAATCCTAATTTGAAAGTTTTATCCATAGTCATGTTTTGAATCATACGATTAATTCAAACTCACAAACATAGATTAAAGGACTTGTTTAACAACTATGAAAGGATATTGAAGATCCATAAGTCATTCATACAAAGTCCTAATTTAAATTAAAAGACAACTAGTTTATTCTAAAAAAAAACTTAACAATTTTATCCTATTCAAAAATTTGAACTAAATAGTTTAGTTCAAACTTATAAAAATGGATTCAAAGCTTTTAAATAACTATGAAAGAACATGAGAGGTTCTTAAGTCATTCTATAAGCTTAAATTACCTAACTAAAAATGGATTTTGGGAATTTGAAAATTTTAAAGCAAACAAACAACATAATATGAAATAAAAATCCTTCCAACGATTCATCTAGGTTAAGGAAAAAGGATCTTAAAGTTGTTAGCTTTCCCAATCAAATATAATAAAGAAAATATAGCAATGACAAGGCAAATTAAGGGAATAAGGAAAGTAAAGAAGCTACTGAAATTTATTTCAGCCCAAGTCCCAATCCTTCTGGTTGATGTTGCTGTCGCTGTTTAAATTGGACTTTCGAAGGTCCAAAAATTCTCAATTTTCAGCCTTTTTAAGGCTGCTCCTGCTGCTCCGTTTTTCAGCCCTTTGAGGCTACTGTTGCTGCTGTTTTTTAGGATTTTTACCCAATTTTGCTCCTCGTTTTTCTGCCTTTTAGAGGCAGCTGCTACTGCTGGTCATTTTATTGAAATTTTAAGTCCAAAAACTCGGACTTCAGCCCTTTAGGACCATTATTATTTCTCTACTGAGCTGCTGCCTTCGGTTTGGATTTTAACCAAACAATACTATCTTCCCTTTCACGATTCCAATGGAGGTTGACTCAATAAGAGGAATATGTAAGAGATGGGGAGTCCAAATGAACTCGAATAAGAGAGTGTTCATGAGAAAGAGGAAATAAAAATTAGAATCAATACGAAACAATATTTACCTAAGCTAATATCTTAATATGCCTATGGTGACTGTAAATGTGCAAAATTTAAAGCATCTATTCATATTAAAATTTAACAGTACATCAGAAACCATATTAGGCATTACAAGCAAACGTCAAATCTAAAAAAAATGCTTCCCTTATTTCAAATCAATGTATATGAATAATATGTCGCTCAAATTTATTGACAACAAATCCTCGATTTCGAAAGGGTTCCAAAGGAAATATGGTGAGTTAACTTGTTGTCAAATCGACCAAAAATAACAAATCATATAATCATTAGTAATTCATAGTTTCCCAAATCTGATAAAGTATTAACATCTAGAGTAGAAACTATACAAAGCAAGAATAAAGTATAGGACAGGAAACTCAACAACGTAAAGATAAAGAAAATTATAAGACTAAACCCATATAAAACGACAAAGAAATTATACTATCCAAATGCTCAAACCAACTTAAGGAAAGAAAAGAATTTACCTTTCGCCGAGCAGCGAACCAGGACGACGAGCTCGAGAAAGACACCACTTTCAACTCGACAGCCAAGACAAGAGAAAATTTTGAACTATGAACTAAGAGCTCCCAAAACCTTTTCGAGGATGCTCTTTAATCTCCCAAAAAAAACCCGTCCTTTGAACAGTGAAGAGAGGGGCCTTTTATAGGAGAGATTTGAGGGAAATTTCTGGGATAGAACCGATGTGGGAGAATCCCAAATTCAAAAATCTTAAAGGATAAGGCTAGGTGAGCTGAAGGGTGTACGAATTCGTACTATTTTGAACGAAATTGGGAAAGGAAAAAGGAAATTGGAATGAATATTACCGTATGGGAACGTTTGGACTGTATTGCGGGTACAAGAGCTCGTGCCCCCCGCGTGACAAACAAGTTAAGCAAAAAAGGAACCTTGGCGTCGTTTTGGATTCTTCCTCTCGGTTGAATCTCGCGTTTTGGAGAAGATGCGTACAAGGGTCATTGGTATTGTACGATGTTGTCGTATTGTAGGTTGTATGTTGATGGGTATATTGATGGGTTTGGGTATTTTTGTATGGGATTGGGTTGAAGCGGAGCTGGGCCGGAAGCTTTTGTGCTTTGAAAAAATTGATTTTGAAAGAGTTTAAAGGCAAAGAGATGGCCTTAGTCCCTTGGTACGAAAATAAATTATGTATCCAATTAATTATTAAGCTTCTTAACTCCGACAATATAAAACAATCATCTTGACATAAAATCTTAATTATTTTTTAAATAAATAAAAAAATTAGTTACGTAATTTAATTGATTCTTGAAGAAATAAAAATGCTAACTCAATTAAAACACCATTTAGTAAAACGATTTTCTAAATATTTATTCAAAGTAATAAATACTAAATCTATATATTATAAGTATATGACTATATATATATGGGATAAGGGTCTGAAAAATATCTCAATTTTGGTCGGATTTGCTGTTGCGATACTAAACTTTCATGAGGACCTATTACCTCCCTAGACTATTTAATACCGTATTTTAAACATATATATTTGCCCACGTGGACATAAAAAATAATGCAAAATTATAAATAGTAATGTGTCCACGTGGGCACATATATACCTTTAAAATTCACTATTAAATAGTTCAGGGGGTAAAAAATACGGTATTAAATAGTCAAGGGAGGTGATAGGTCCTTATGAAAGTTTAGTATCGCAACAGCAAATCCGACCAAAGCTGAGGTATTTTTCAGACCCTTATCCCTATATATATTTTAGAAAGATGACCAAATTGCCTTGAAAATGGTCTCGAAAGACTCGTAAATAATTATTTCAAATTGTTTGAAATCAAAGAAGCTTGAAAATTATCTAAATGTGGGGGGCCAAAATTGGATGTCAACACTGAACTCAAAACATAAGTCTTAAAACAAAGTTAAAACATTTGTGAAAAACTTTTTGAAAACTTTAAGAATTTATCTTAACTTGACTCTTGACTTTGATCTTAACTGCTCTTGACTTGACTCCTAACTGATCCTTGAATTGAATTATGGATTCAAGGATTAAGATTTGTGATTGGAAAGATCTTATGATGTTTAAGAATGACTTTAAATAACTAGTCCTGAGAAAAGGTACTAAATCACCGTCTTGGAACAAGTCCGCGACGCGGTGACGTTTCTAAATAAATGCTCGTGAAATTAATTTTAGAGACAAAGGAGTCCGCGTCCTAACCGCGACGTGGAGTCAATTTTCCTTCACTAGGTAAGCAAGTCCACGACACGGACTTGCGCGCCAGAACCTGCTCAACTTTTCCTTTTTCGTTTTCCAGCCCCAAACCACCTAAACTCGATTATAGAACTCAAATTAATTTTAGATCTCGATACCCAGCATATGTATCCAAGAACCTAACTCAATACAACCCTAAAACTCAACGTAATGATCTCAGAAACTCCTCAATCCATCCCAATTCAAGAACAATATTCAAATTCAAGAATACATGCCAAAACATCAACTTTCAAACTCTTTTAGGACGAATTTCGATGAGCTAAACATGCTTGGTGCGTGAGTGAATGAACCCAACGCTATGGAAGACTCACATACCTTGTAAGATGAATTTCTTGGTGAATCCACAACCAAAATCGATCGTTCTTGGCGAACCTTGAACTTTTCTTCTCCTTTCTCCTGTTTTCTCTTTTCTCCAAGCCCTGGCGTGAATTTCCAACTGACTAAACTGATCTCATTCTGATTTGACCCTTAATTAATTCACTAAAACGAATTAAATTAATTGGGTAAGGAAAAGACTAATTTACCCTTCAAAAATCCGGATTAGACTTTCCTTAATCGCACAGCCCAACCTCCAAAGGGCATAACTCACTCATACAAACTCGGAATTGCGTAAACTCGGCGGCGTTAGAAGGATCACTCCAAGATCTTTCCTACCATATCTGGAAGTACCTCTAACTCATCATGAGCTAGAAATTATGATCGTTTGAAGTTGACCAAAACTCAACTTTTCTTAACTTAACAAATTTCCAGATTTTCATTAATTCCAAAAAAGTTGAATATTTCCAGTTCTTAGCTTCTTCCTAGCCATTTCAAATTGCGAGATATTACACTACTGTCCTATTTGAAGTAGTATAAATATTTTTTAATTAAAAAAAGTCCTATTTGAAGTAGTAAATATATTTTTTAATTAAAAAAATATTAGTTTTAAAAAAGTGTTTTAAAAGAAAAAACTATTAATTTTTATTTAGAAAAAATGATATTTCTTATCGATTTAACCAAATTATCAACTAAATGCATTTTGCTTGATTTCATTAGTGACATTTTTACTCTTTTTCCGTAGCTGAAATATCAACTAAATGCATTTTTCTTGATTTCATTAGTGACATTTTTACTCTTATATATATATATATATATATATATATATATAGTTGACTAGTGTGCATAGACATAATTGATTATGAGTAAATGAGTAATCTGTATTAAAGACTATAGCCGAGTAAAAAACATTAATCGCCACAATGCCATGAATTAATTAGTTGAATTTCTAAATCTTTATCATTTCTTTTCTTTTCTTTTTTTTTAGATGAAAAATATTAAAGAAGCAAAGTGTCGATAAAGGTAAAATTAATGAATTGTCAAATCGAATTTGATTAGGTAATTTATTCGAAATGAATGGTATATATAACTAAAACAAGTTAATATTAAAAGTAGCTAGAGTTCTCTTTTTTCTTCTTTTTTCATTGCCATGACAAATGTATTCATAAATAGCCAACTACAACTTTTCTGAATTAATTAAAAATATATATAGAAAAAGAGAAATGAGGAGTAAATTAGTGAGCAACTTCTAGCTACCTCCATGATGTAGACAAAATATGCATATTATAAGGCCCTATTTAAAAATTTCTAAATATTTTTCTCTTTATACTTTGGGGCAACTACTATAGTTTTCCACTTAATATGAAGTGAGATACGAAATATTTATATTCTTTAGGAAATAAATATTTATGTCGTCATCTGTATATTTTAATTTCAAATATATTTACCCAAAAAAGTTAACTATAGACAAAGAAAAATGAGGAGTAAATTAATGAGCAACTTCTAGTTACCTCGATGTTGTTTTTAGAATTTGATTAACTGAATGTTGTAACAAGTTAATTATTACACATTTCCCTTTTAATTTAGTTTTTATTAATTTTTTGGCTTGTCAATAATGTTGCAAGTGAGGCCATTAAAAACCAGAAACTCAAGTTGCCAAAAGTTGCATCTTTTGCAAGTGTACTATCAAATTTCACAATCCAAGTTGCCAAAGGTTGGAGGCCATTGTATGATCATCTGCATGGGTCGTAATTTATTGGTTGAGCTTCAGACGATGCAATA